GCTAGTTTGCCTATACCCAAGGGGTGTTGGGAGTCAATCCGTATGGATTTCCTGTTCGGTTTACCGAAAGATGCTCATGGCAATACGGATATTGTGGTCTTTGTTGACCGTTTGAGCAAGATGGCTCATTTAGCGGCGGTGCCGGATACCATTGATGATGAGGGTACAGCTACGGTGTTTATCGACCGCGTGTTTCGACAACACGGTTTGCCGTTGGCAATTGTCTCTGATAGAGATCCTCGCTTCACTGGGAAGTTTTGGAAATCCATCTTCAAGGTACTCGGCACACGTTTGGACATGTCCACAGCGGATCATTCGCAGACTGATGGTCAAACCGAGCGAGTGAATCGCGTTATCGGTGACATCTTGCGCAGTGTTTGAGATGAAACATCTAAGCGTTGGAGTTCGATGCTCCCTGTCGTTGAGTTTGTGTTGAATAACGCTGTGCATGCTTCCACCAGCTACAAACCGTTTTATGTGCATGGTCTCACATACCCTCGCGTTCCGTTAACGCTACCACTGCGTGGTTCAGGGCTTGGTGGGAGAAGAGTTGCCGATCAGTTTTCTGATATCAGCCCTGCTACTGTTCAAAAACAGGTAAGCGAGTTTCTCGCAACGCGCTTGAATGTCTTACGACATGTGCGTGACGCACTAGCTGATAGCCAAGACAATCAGAATGAACAATATGATGCTAAAGGCAGAGTTTGTATTAGATGTTATGAGGTCGGAGACCAAGTTCTACTCAATGCTAAAAACTTACCTACAAATGTAGTGTCTGCCGTCTGCAAGACAAAGTTGCGTCCGCGCTTCATTGGTCCATTCACGGTCGTCGCCAAGAAGGGACTTGCGTATACGCTCAACCTTCCGCGATAAGTGCGCACACACCCTGTGTTCTACGTGGGCTTGCTTAAGCTGTATCGGGATCCGTCCCACGTGAACTTGGAGGCGCTTGCGTCGCATACGTTGGCCTTGACATCGGTTGCTGAATCCGTATCAGAAGGTCAAGCTGAGCCTTCATCCGGGCTTGGCTCAACTCCAATGCCTGTACACGGGCTTGCATCGCGTCAAGCGCACTCTGGGTCTTACCCAATGTCTCACGGAGACCACTCAGCTCGAGAAGCACCTTCTCATGCTCCTCCTTCGGTATACCAACCACCTCCAACGCCGCTCGTTGAGCAAGGGAACCTCCAGTTCCATGTGGAGCAACTCCTGAAACGACATCGTCTTCAGGGTCAATACCAGTATCTGGTGAAGTGGCGAGGGTACTAGGAGTCGGAGAGCTCGTGGGAGTTTGAGATACCCCTTCGGCAGGATTGCTCATAAGACGTTGATGTTTTTGAACATCGTGGCATGGGTCATCCCTCGACCGAGAGCGCTTCTCACCAATAGTGGTGGAGGCAGGTGGGTAGTTGGGCACCGCTTGACCAAGACCCACATCAACCGGCACAGCTGGAGCATAGCGTGTGTGAGTTCGCAACTGGCCTCTGGCCTTAAGCTTGGCGTAATCATACCGAAACTTTCGTTCTAGACGAACATCTGCCACATCGGCACTTGCTCTGAGAGCTAACACGCTGCTGAGGTGTAGTTTCCGATGCACCCAGCAAACAAAAGCGTTGTCTTCTTCCTCCTGAGATTCGCCTGCAAATAGGAGGATGGGTATATCCTTCATCGACTGAACCGGTGCACCCCGTGCTTGCGTGTCAAGTCGCAACTTGTATTGACTTTGAGTCGCCAAGTGAGGTTGGAGGTACCTCTCGAGAAAAAACCTGTCGACTCGCCACCTCATCAGAAGATGTTGGCTCAGCGCCAATGGCCCACGTTGCCAAAGAACGACCTGTCATTTCGCATATATGCTCTTCCACATTGAGTAGGGTGAAAAGATAGCCACGACGACCCTCAAGGGTTGCAGCAAGCTGCATACGGCGCTGAGCGCTCTCCTCTCGTTGTATAGCCAACTTTTGTTGCTCGTCGAGAGGATTGGTTATGATGACATCACCCACGATGTGTGTTTGATGCGGCGCCGATGGCGCGTTGGCTTCGCCGCGCCTGGCAAATGGGTTTGGTGCAGTATAAGTCGTTGCCTCTTGCACTGGTGAGTTATACACTGTCCTTTCTTCACCGAGGTCATCGGTATCGCTGCCATAATCCGCCTCCACATTGATGCCGAGGTAGGACGAGAGAGTCGAGAACTCATTGGGTGGCGATACCATGGTGTTTCGTGTTTTGCCAACCGTAAGGTTGAAGCGCACACACACAGTCCTCTTCGAGGAAAGAATTCGATCGACGTTTCGCGATAACGTCAGTCTGGTGGGGGAGGGTGTAATGGGGTTACACGTCGACTGGTAGTCGACAATAGGTGTGGTTCACACCAGGGATGGGATCCCCTTTGAATTGATATTCGAACACAGTATCGATTGTTGAAGACTGGTGTCTGTCAACCATAGATTACGAGATCTTTTGAGAGGTTTATTTAGAACATTAGCGAGTAGGTTGATCACGTTGTTCTAAGATATTGTTTTAGGTTCAAAGAAGAAATAAAGTTCAGTTCCCATTTTGATCTGATAGACACGTGCCTCTTCGAGGCGTCTTGTGATCGTTAAGGAGGTAGCAAAGCCTTGTTAAGGCAGCTACTCCTTGTGCGCTCTGTGCATTGGATTGTTTGAATCGTTTGGCCCCCCCTGGAACAGGGACCGTAAGCTCTCTGAGCTTGTTGACTGTCTGAGTCGGGTTCTTTGAACCAAACCTTAGCTCTCTGAGCTGTTGACTCTTTGAGTCTAATTTTTAAACCAAATTTGCTTATTGAGCGTTTAGTCTTCATTCTGACTTAAGGAGCTGTGTAGCTCCGCTAAATTCATCGTGTTGCCTATCACCCCGACAACGCATAGTTCACGAAGTTTGGTGGCAACACTACAATGGAGATCATCAGGCTTCAGCGAACAGGACCATTACTCGGGCTTCGACAATATACCCACTGTCTGCAATTTGAAACGCAAAACGACCAAGAGATGATCTGTAATGGGGTTGATCTCGTTACGTGTCATTGGCGTGAATTGGGTCAATCGTGAGTATAATCTTACTTGATAAAATATACTAATATTGACCTCTGTAAGTAAATATTGATGAAGGAATGTAACTTTCAAGGAAACATTCAGTACTGCTCTACTTTTTGATTGATGCAGGCCATGTTGTAATCCAAGTAAGCCACCAATTGCAGCTACACGCGCGTAATGGGTGCTAAGCAAGGTTACATACCTGTAGTTTGTAGTTCAATAGAGTTTAAGTAAGACAGAGTAGGTTTTCTGGGAGAGACCTGAATCTACTTAACTCAGTTTTACTTTTCCCGCATTCGATGCAGGTCTTGCTCAGTCTGACACCCCTCCCTCTGCACGTACAGTGTCCGTGAGGCTATGGGAACACACACCCCTGCACTTTCATATGTGCAAGTGGTTTACCATTCATCTGGTAAGAGTGCGCTCCATTACGCAAACGACCATTCGCAACTTCAATCAGTCCTACGTATTTCGCGCCATATGACCTCTGTCAGTCACGACTTCACCTGTTTGAGCTCATGTTGACTCGTTCGCCAAGGACCAATACTTGTAACACCTGCCCGACAATGACGAGGACAAGCACGGCATGAGAGCAAATTCAACATGGATGTGCGTGTCTTCGTACCGTTTGATTTTCAAGATCTGTCAATGACCTGTGAACGTTTCATCTTGTTCTATGCGAAAGTAGGACTGCGTGAATCCACTGAGATGACCGTTCGTTCGTTCATCCAGAAAGGCAGCAGATGTATGGCTCTCCGATCTACGATAGCGGTCTGCAGGTCCAGCATAGCCCGCTATCGATCTCCGCGGTTACCAACTTTCGATGCTATGAAAGCCGGAAGAGCTCTTCTGACAAGCATTTGCATGCCATGCATGTATCGCAACACACAAAACTAGAAAGTAAAACCTGACGGAAGCATTCCAAGTCTTTTCAGGTGCCAGTGGCCACCGGCATGCCAGCAACGACTGCTCATATCAGTGACTATATGGTGTCAGCATGTAGTGTTGCCTTGCTTCTAGCAGATACACGTTAGCAGCGCACAGCTTTTCATCTCCTTCAGTCACTTGTACCCAGACGAAGACAGCAGACACGTTCTGCAGAGCCAGAGCTGTACTACGATTCATGCCAGACCGAAGAAGCGTAGCGTCTACCACTCCTTCTTTCGCAGTGTCCACCCTGCACTCAGATGTTGTCCTTCTCGTGAATATCACCGTCAGACACAAGATCAAAAGCCCAACGATCTATTTGCTATCATCGTAAACGAAATTTGCTCACGTAGCGTACGGTCTGGTGCACCATGCAGCTGTTGTCTGACAGCATGTTGACCGTCGTCCTTCCCGAAGTCTCGATTGGCTCCAGACGAAGACAGCCTGATCGGCACAAGTGCCAAATGCAATACTCTACTATGCTTGCAACGGCGTCGCCATGTGGTGCATGGAGCTTGCTGGATGCGCGTTCCAGCGGACCGGGCATCTGCTTCACCCGGCCTCGGTACCTGCTACAGCTCTGGTGAATATTTCAACAAAGGCATGAGGTCTTATCTACCCTACCCATCGGTGTCAATCTGTCAGCCGCCGCAACCACTCGGGCCAACAGCCGTGCACTTCTCTCTCTCTGTCTCTACCTCTCTGTCTCTACCTAACAGCATCCTTCCTTGCGAGCCATCGGAATGCCATCTATCTGTGCTCTCTCGCATCTGTGGCAGTTCTCCGCAACGATTGCGCTTCACTCGACCGCAACCTTCGTGTCTACCTGGAAGACCATCTGGAGGCTAGCTTTCAACGGACTCTACGCTCTATTTGCCACGATTGAGGTCTGTCTGAAAATGATGCGAGGTCGGTGCACTCGCGGCGCTCGGACCGAGCAAGTGTGTTCATTCCTCAACTCACGACGAACGAAACAACTCACACCAACACAACTACCCGCGTACATCTACGACCAGTATCACCATGCAGCTCAGCAAGATGATCGGTGTGCTAAGCGTGGGTGCTTTAGCTGCTTTGGCACTCTCGAGCAACCCTGTGGATGCGTCGACGGCAGCCACACAGACCGGGCATCGGCACCACCACCGCAGCCGCAGAGACGACGACGACAGCTCTGACAACCGCAGGGGAAGCTACGGCAAAAGGCGCGTCTACAGAGACGACGACGATGACAGCAGTGACGGCGAAAGAAGGCCTTATGGCAACCAGCGTGGCAACCAGCGTGGCAACAATGACTACCGTAACGACAACGGCGGCGACGGTCGCGATTATTACTCGGGCGGCAATGGCAACCAGCGCGCCAACGGAGGTGCGGCAGTGGGGCCGATCAACAATGGTGTTGGTGCCGGTGCTGGCGTGGCTCCCAATGCTGGTCTCCCCGCCAACGGTGGAGCGGGTCAACCTGCCACTACGTTACCCTATGCGGGCACACCTCCGAACACCGGGACTGCGGTGAAAGGGGGAGCTGGGGTAAAAGCTAAGCCAGGCCACAACCCTGTCACTGGGAAGAGCACCGGCGTGGATTCGACTGGCAATGCCAATGTCGGTGCAGGCGGAAACGCGTATGGCGCGGACGGTCCGCACCTGGCGGACGTGAAGCAGACGACCGTGCAGACCGGTGGCCTCCGCCACTAAGCCAGGTAAACGCTCGCGATCCGTGTTCTGTACGCGACACGTGTTGGCTTTGTCAGTCGACCGGTGTGGCGAACTGACACTAGGACCGTTTGACGTAGCCGACGAGTATCTTGCCACTCACTACCCATCCCCAGTATGTATTGCTACTCATTGGGTCTGACAAGCACGGCGTGCATGCATTAGAATGTCGTTGTCGTAGCCGTACATATAGTTGCCGTGCAGCGCAGGTAGTTTTCAGTGAATATACAAACGCAGCTGGTCAATTGCAAACAGTCTTCTCCAGCTTTTACTTTCTCTTGGCGCGGTCGATGGATGAAGAGTATGAAAAGCTCACGTCACTTGCAGCTTCTGCCGACACTTCAGAGCGTGGGGTATCTACGGGATATTCCATGGCAGAGAACAACACCTGTCAACACGTTGTGGCACAGAGATCACGCGCGCTATCGCTGGTGGCCTGCAGGCACAAGGACGTGTATGGCACGCATAGTGTCGCTACACACGATGATAATCAATACAATGTTGTGTCGTAACTCAATGTCCAACAACAGGGCATCCGCTATTGACCTTTGAGCGCGTCCGACGCACCAAGCTTATCGTCTGGCGCTGTGTCGACGTCTAAGTGCTTGTGAACGCACAAGATGGGTCGACGTGAAAGGTATCTTCTCTGATGTGGCTTGCTTCAGCGTCGTCTCGGGGGGTGTTCAGCGTGGGATATGCTCCAAGATGCTGCACAACGGTCATGAAGTCGCCGAAAGGCGTGGTAGGCAAGCTGAGAATGATGCGAGCCCAGTCCTTTGCAAGTACTGGAAACAAAGGCCAGGGTTCTTTGATCAGCACGATGTTTGCATTTGACAGTGGCACAGAAAAGACACCATTACGTTCAGCTGAATGTTTGGCTCACGAAGACCATCGTAGCTTGCAACGGTGTTGCTGCAATAACAAGAGGTTCCGTCGGTCTGTATCAGGGCAATATGTAATGAAACTCGCCAAGTGATGCCAGAAAACGTTGAGAAAAAGAACTCGTACACGTTGACGCGGTCTTACAAGTCGTCTTATTGGAACACAACATATTCATGTATGAATGGTCGCTCACTAGACGAATAGATGTGCGGTAACGAAAATTGGACAAACCACGAATAGTGCATGGTCATCGGCTAATAAACGCTCTCGAGCTTAATCGTATCCTATAGCGGAGCTTCACAGCTTCTTCAGTCAGAAGTAAACTCTAACGCTCAACGAGCAACTTTGGTTCTACGAACCCGACTTAAAGAGTCAACAGCTCAAAGAACTAAGGTTTGGTTCAAAGAACCCGACTCAGACAGTCAACAAACTTATAGATCTTACGGTACTTGTTCCAGGGGGGGCCAAACGATTCAAACAATCCAACGTACAGAGTGCACAAGGAGTAGCTGCCTTAACAAGGCGTTGCTACCTCCTTAACGATCACAAGACGCCTCGGAGAGGCACGTGTCTATCAGATCAAAATGGGAACTGAACTTTATTTCTTCTTTTAACCTAAAACAATATCTTAGAACAACGTGATCAACCTACTCGCTAATGTTCTAAATAAACCTCTCAAAAGATCTCGTAATCTATGGTTGACAGACACCAGTCTTCAACAATCGATACTGTGTTCGAATATCAATTTAAAGGGAGCCTCATCCCTTGTGAGCACCACACCTATTCTCGACTACCAGTCGACGTGTAACCCCATTACACCCTCCCCCACCAGACTGACGTTATCGCAAAACGTCAATCGAAGTTTTTTCTTGAAGAGGACGGTGTATGTGCGCTTCAACCTTACGGTTGGCAAAACACGAAACACCATGGTATCGCCACCCAATGAGTTCTCGACTCTCTCGTCCTACCTCGGCATCAATGTGGAGGTGGGTTATGGTAGCGATACCGATGTCCTCGGTAAGAAAGGACAGTGTCTAATCACCAGTACAAGAGGCAACGCTTCATACTGCACCAAACCCATTTGCCGAGCGTGGCGAAGCCATTGCGCAGCATCATGCAACAAAGGCAGGTGAACGCCTCATCACCAACGCGCTTGATGAGCAACAGTTGTGTTTCCAGCGAGAGGAGCGTACTCTACGTCGCACTCATACCCAGACGGCTATTCGAAACCGGAGTGGTTACGTAATTTCAACAGCTGACGTGGATCAACGTCTCAGTCAAACGGAAGGCCGTAGCCTTGCAACAAAGGCCATTGGCTTAGATGCTACGTCGCCAGAAGACATCGCCTTGCGCCAGTTCCTACCGGAGAGGTATCAAACATTTCTTGACCACCCAAGGTCAATACAAGCCACACCTTGAAAGCTTGGATCGAGGTATTTTAGTTCGACCGATTAAAGGCGTACCCATCTTGTTGTTTGCCGGCGAGTTGCCTGAAGAGGAGGACAATCAGTTCAGCCATTGGGTACACCGCACGCGGCATCTCAGCAGTGTGTCATCGCTGAGGGCAAGTGCCAATGTGGACGATGTTCGTCTAGAACGAAAGTTCGGTACGAATACGCCAAACTCAAGGCCAGAGGTCAACTGCGCAATCGAACGCGCTACGCTGCGGCTACGCCGGTAGCCACAGGTTTCGACCCTAAGGCGCGGAGCAAACCGCTGCCTCCCACCACTATTGGTGAGAAGCGTCCTCGGTCGATCGAAGACACTTGCCACGATGTTCATAAACATCAACGTCTTATGAGCAATCCTGCCGAAGGGGTATCTCAAAATCCCACGAGCTCTCCGACTCCTAGTACCCTCGCCACTTCACCAGATACTGGTATTGGACGTGACGACGATGTCGTTTCAGGAGTCGCTCCACATGGAACTGGCGGTTCCCTTGTTCATCGAGAAGCGTCAGAGTTGGTTGGTATACCGAAGGAGGAGCATGAGAAGGTGCTTCTCGAGCTGAGTGGTCTCCGTGAGACATTGGGTAAGACCCAGAGTGCGCTTGACGCGATGCAATCCCGTGTCCAGGCATTGGAGTTGAGCCAAGCCCGGATAAAGGCTCAGCTTGACCTTCTGATACGGATTCAGCAACCGATGTCAAGGCCAACGTATGCGACGCAAGCGCCTCCAAGTTCACGTGGGACGGATCCCGATACAGCTTAAGCAAGCCCACGTAGAACACAGGGTGTGTGCGCACTTATCGCGGAAGGTTGAGCGTATACGCAAGTCCCTTCTTGGCGACGACCGTGAATGGACCAATGAAGCGCGGACGCAACTTTGTCTTGCAGACGGCAGACACTACATTTGTAGGTAAGTTTTTAGCATTGAGTAGAACTTGGTCTCCGACCTCATAACATCTAATACAAACTCTGCCTTTAGCATCATATTGTTCATTCTGATTGTCTTGGCTATCAGCTAGTGCGTCACGCACATGTCGTAAGACATTCAAGCGCGTTGCGAGAAACTCGCTTACCTGTTTTTGAACAGTAGCAGGGCTGATATCAGAAAACTGATCGGCAACTCTTCTCCCACCAAGCCCTGAACCACGCAGTGGTAGCGTTAACGGAACGCGAGGGTATGTGAGACCATGCACATAAAACGGTTTGTAGCTGGTGGAAGCATGCACAGCGTTATTCAACACAAACTCAACGACAGGGAGCATCGAACTCCAACGCTTAGATGTTTCATCTCAAACACTGCGCAAGATGTCACCGATAACGCGATTCACTCGCTCGGTTTGACCATCAGTCTGCGAATGATCCGCTGTGGACATGTCCAAACGTGTGCCGAGCACCTTGAAGATGGATTTCCAAAACTTCCCAGTGAAGCGAGGATCTCTATCAGAGACAATTGCCAACGGCAAACCGTGTTGTCGAAACACGCGGTCGATAAACACCGTAGCTGTACCCTCATCATCAATGGTATCCGGCACCGCCGCTAAATGAGCCATCTTGCTCAAACGGTCAACAAAGACCACAATATCCGTATTGCCATGAGCATCTTTCGGTAAACCGAACAGGAAATCCATACGGATTGACTCCCAACACCCCTTGGGTATAGGCAAACTAGCCAGCGGCGCGGCCGCGTGAGGTGAGGATTTCACCCGTTAACACGTTTCACACGTACGCACATATGTGATCACCCATTTGTATAGTTTGGGCCACCAATAACATTGGCTCATAGAGCTATTGGTCTTTTCACGACCGAGGTGGCCGCTCAACGCAGTATCATGTGCCCCATAGAGGATCCGATACTTCATCTCCTCATCATGAGGGACAACGATGCGAGGGGTATCCTCCACATCCGTTCTATAGCACAACAGGCCTTGATCGATGGAATATCGATGTATCCTCGCACGTAATCGTGCCGACAATTCTATGTCTGAGTATTTAAATTCCTCGCTCCCTAGAGCACGTATCAGAGCTACACAGGGTTCATCCTTGGCATATGCCGTACGGATTAGGTCAGTGACCGATGATGACAGAGTCGTAACATGAGCAAGCTTATAGTCAGGTCTGCGTGACAACGCATCAGCCAAAGCATTCTGCTTGCTTGGATTATACTTCACCTCGAAGTTGTACTTGGCAAAGAAGGAAAGCCAACGAGCCTATCTATGAGAGAGGTGAGGCGACTGATTCGCAGTGCGTAGTGACGCATGATCTGTATAGATCACAAACGGCTTCGAGACAAGCAGATGAACTCTGAATTTGACGAGAGCATACTTCATTGCAAGTAGCTCTTTGTCATGAACAGGATAGTTCTTTTCTGCAGCCTTCATCTGTCGGGACTCAAACGCAATGAAGCGTTCCCGTCCATCAGAATCTGTCTGTAACAGGGCGCTGTCTGTGGAAAAGTCAGATGCGTCAGACGACACTGAAAGGCCGATCAGGATCATGCAAAGCCAAGATTGGCGCACGAAGGAGGCTTTCCTTTACTGCTTGAAAAGCATCATGCTCAGTGCTCGTCTAGCACCATTCCACATCCTTTTCAGGAGATTGGATAATGGCCGAGCCATGTCTGCGTAATTCGCACTGTACTTGTGTAAGTATTGG